CTCCTCCAAACCAATATGATTACTTGGAGGCATCCATAAAATAGTGTCATTGCCATTGCTGTCTTAGAGGACCCATAATGAACTACTACAACCAATTTGATATTTCTTAAATTTTTTAATTAAACTATATATAAATGTAGAATGACAAACTGACACTTTGTTATGTTTCTACTTGCAAACATAACTCAGAGACATTTTGACAGCAGTTGGTAAATTTTGATAAACAGGTTTATTTAAAAAAATAAAATTCTAGAGGAGTGATATTTGGGATCTAAAAATCTTGATGAATAGAGTCTCTCTTTCCTTTACAATATTTGCCCCTTTTTCCTGTTTGTATATTTGTTACTAAAAGAAAGCTGCAAAATAAATTGATTCTTATGAGTCGAGAACTAAATGTGTATTTTTGTCACAATAAATCTTGGTATTGGTCAGAAGAAATGTAATTTCACTTTTTGCACTGGTTGAATTAATCTTATCCCAGTTATTCAAATCCCCTGTACTCTGTAAAAATGTTAGGAATCCAGGTTGATGTAAGATTAAATTTTTGGGAGGTGACTTTCTGAATTTTGCTGACTTTCTAGTTCACATTTGTCTGGCTTTTTATTTTGAAGATTTAGACTGTGTATAGATCATAGTTTGCTTAAAAATGGCCATGGCATGTTGAACATGGTAAGATTTTCTTTCTTGGGTATCATTTTACTAGATGTATTAGTTGCATTTGTACTAAATATTTTAAATAATATACTTTATCTATTTTGTGCATTTTAGCTTCAGGTATTACTGAAGACTTCTTTCTGTCAATGAAATTGTTTTTGTTTATTGATCTATCTTGTCTGCTGCTTGCAAATCTAACAACTTAAAATGAATGCAATATCAATTTAGTGTCCACTGCTTGTATTGATTTTGTTTTTGTTGCACAATGCTAAATAGTTGTGGTTGCTGGATCCATAATCATTTGTACTTGTTGTTTTTTGTGGGTTTTGCTTATATTAATTTGCTATTTCTTGTGTGATTCTGTTGGTTTTCCTCAATGAATATTTTAAAGAAACAGTTCAAAGTATTTTGGGTTCTTTTAGTGCATATTATTACTTCTTTATTAATCATATAAAAACATTGGCTAGGTTGATACAATACTGAAAACCCTATTTTTATATTTCAAAGTAGATTTCTTTAAAAAATATATATGAAAGAGTTATTTGAACCATTTTGCTACATTTTGTTTTTAAATTATTTGATAGTTACTTTTTTGGTGCATGGGTCATAGAAATAATCTTTTAATAATTACAGCAATTACTTATACTTGAAAATGTTTGAGAGTAAATCTGGGAAAAAATAGATTTTTTTTTTCTGTTTGATAACGCAAGTGAGTATATAGTTGTCACATAATTCTAAATGTAAAATTAATTGAATTTAACTTGATAAACAGGTGAACAATTTTCTAATTGAAATTATTTTAGATTAATGGCAAGCTCTTTTCTTTCTGATTATGGTCTCAGAATTTGATAGGTATCTAAACTGAAAAAAAAATTTGGCATCTTTAATTTTGGAATGTCAAAAGGACATTTTTTTCCCTTGACACTGCTATTATTTTAACTACCTTCATTCCTCACCAATGTTCATTGTTTTCAAAAGTGGTAATTAGGATTATAATAAGACTTAAACATGATGAAAATGAATTTATACATTTTTTTTTGTTCTTGAGAATTTACAACAAAAATATTAAACACTGTTTATTTATTAGATTGCTTATTTATAAGAATAGTTTTAGATTTACAACATTCTAAAAATTAATACACTGCAATATTTATCATTTACCAATTTATAAAGAAATAAATATAAAAACAATGTTTTATTTATAAACATTTATTATAATTACAGAAGGTCCTCGGATTACATCGGACCTGATGTATGGCATTGTGTGGTTACGGCAACATCTCCCATAATATATTATGTTTTCACGCGGCACTATATGAGGGAGAAGACATCGTTTCTTCAATGGCTGAATGCCATATTGGATTCGCTATCTCTAGTTTGTGTCTTTTTTAACTTTTTGTCCTTCATTATGGCTCCCAAACATAAGGCAGACTTGTGGGTGCTTATGTAGGTGAATTCTAACCTACGTTGAAAATCATGTTACATCCAAATGGATCTCCAACATAAGTTGAGGACCCCCCCTGTATTAAAATATGCGAACCCACTATAAAGAAATCCTTATTATATTTTATAAAGTTGAAATAGATTAGCAATTAGCCGATGTTTTGTCAACCATTCCAATAAACAATCTAATAAATAAATAATTTTTATTATTTTTGTTGTCATTTCCTAAGAATAAAGATGTATAAATTCACTTTTATATGTTTAGGTCTTATTAAAATTCTGATCATCACTTTTTTAAACACTAAACATTGCCGAGGAGTGAAGGTAGTTAAAATAATAGCAGTGTTAAGGGAAAATACGTCTTTTTTAACAGTTTTTCTCCTAGCACAAAGATTAAAGATTGTCAAAACTTCAATTAGTCTTAACTGAGAAAATATTACCTCAAAACTGAAGATTGACAATGGATGTAATTATTGCAGTACTCAATGAGAATTTATCAAATTGATAACAGACAAGGTGATAACAATTTCGTCTTTACTCTGACAGTGCAGAAAAATTCTCGGTCTGAATAAGAAGCCCTTTCATAAGAAATTTAACGTTGGTCTTTTTGGTCAAAGTTTTGAAATGCTGAGAACTTTTCAGCATCCCCTCATATAAGTATGTATCTAATCAGATATCTTTTCTTTCTGAAGCTCTTCTCCTGGAAAACTGTTTTCCATTACTCAAATCAATTTAAAAAATAGAATTATATTTTATTTTTTTTTTTTTTTTAAGGAATATTTATTCTTATATTAGATATAATTCTAGCAAGTCAGAATTTTATTTCTCTTAACTGAACGTTCTTGTGGATTTGATTTAATATCTTTTTAAATACAACTGTATTTTTTTTATGCCAATACTCGCCCTGTAGTTTCTTGTAATACTGCTGATTGATTTATCTCCTTGGCTATTTCTGTCTTTAAAAGAGCTCCTGTGATTAAGTTATTCACTGGTAATTATAGTGCAGTAGAGTTGTGAATTTATTTATAGTAGAGAACATAGAAAAGATAACACTCTCTATTTTAGATCCTAAAATAGTCATTTTTAAAAATGTTGCTTAAAAAAATATTTTCAAGTATTTTTAGCATTGTAAATAGAAACGTCAGAAATTTTATTGTTAATAACAAAAAATACTTTTTTACATGAATTTATGTATGCTACTAGATTGGCATTTAGGTCCCACCCTTTTATTGTTGAAATAGCTAAATGCAACTGCCACTTCTAAAACTTCCCACCTGTGTAACTCCTTTCCATTTGCTTCCCTGATAACTACAATCTTCAAAAATTTAAATGCAATGTCAATCACCATCTTGAATCATGTTCATCTTTTGTCCTTTTCTCATTCCTCCCTATTTTCAGTCTTCTCTTTCACTTTCCCTGTGCACTAGTGGCATTCCTGCTTTGCTTGGGGTGAAATGATTAACAAAATTTTCTTTTAACGTCATACAATTTTTTAAAAACAATGTTAAGGTTCATTTTGTAAGAAAGTTTTATAGCCAAATACTAAATATTTTTGAATATTTGACTAAATTTATTAAACTGAAATTATCTTTGTATTAATATAATTTATAATGCTTGATAATTTTTTTTGGTTCCTATTCAATCTACTTAATTTTCTATTAAAAGGATAAACTAAAATTCTAATAGAACAAATTAACATCTATCTATAATATTTTGCTCTACGTTGTTTTGACCACTTTTTTTTTTTTAAAGTAAATGCTAAGAACGGTGGATTCTTAATATGTTTTTTTCTTTTTATTTGAAGATATATAAAATTCTTTGACTTCTGTCTGTCACACCCTCTAAAATAGCCATATATTGACCAATCAAAACCAAATTTTGGGGAAAAGTGCAAACAGGAGGTAACAGGGTACAAAGTACAGTTGGTTTTATTATCGTTTGTAAAAACTAGGGTTTTTGTCAAAAGTATTTTTCAAAACAAATCAGTTTATTCAAATTTTATTAATTGGTTTGCAAAATTAAATGAAACATAGTTTGTAAATCTCAACAAAAAATATTAGTGGTAACTTAATACTAAATATTGGTAGGATTTCAACACTGTCATCATGTTGCAAAATTGCAAATTCTAGTATTGAAAATTAGAGATTAAATAATTTGCAGTGACTTTCTGTTGTGTAAGTGAACATGCATTACTGAGGAAAAAATTTTAGCACTGATAACAGCTGACAGCTAAACTTGATTATTTTCTATATATAGTTTTTTGCAGAATAACATCTGCTTACAGTTATACATCTGCCATAATAACACTCTGACCAGTGAAGTCAGGGTTGATATGTTTGCTTAGTGAAGAGTGATTCAACATGTCTGTGATTTCTTTCTTTTTTCTTTTCGTTTTTAAATCTTCTCAAGAGATTTCTTGCTACAATTAAATAGAGATAAAATAGTTACAAGTTTTATTTCTTTATATATAATTAATAAAGGCCAGTTCTAAACTGATGTTTGTTTATTTACAATGTTTATGTGTAAGTGGTGTTTTTGTTTGAAAATAGATTATCAAATCTGTAGACATTCATATGCCCTTGAATAATGGGAATGTTGCCATTTCATCCATTAGCTAAAACATTTATCATTTTGATATAGTGACTGATATTTAAATTTTTTTTTTTTTTTTCATTTAACAATCTGCAATTTCAGAAGCAATGCAATGCTAACAATATAAAAAATATTAACCCTGTACCTTGAGGTAATTTTTCTTACATTTTCAAAATGTTTTTATCTAAAATAATTATAATTCTTGATAGATATAATTTTTTTCTCGTATGTTTAACAAATTTATATTTTAGACAAAAAATATGGATTGGTGTGTAGTCTGATAATGATTTTGGTATCAATGGGTAGGAGCTTATGGTCACATCATGTTGAAACATTGGTTCCTGTACGATCACTGAAATTAAGCAATGTCAAGTCTGGTTAGTACCTGGATGGGTGACCGCTTGGAAACAACAGGTGCTGTAAGTTTGGATGTGTGGGTAGTATAATGGATAATGGTACAGAATTGTTAATCAGACAGCCAAGTTCCAATTCCCATTGGATTGTTATATTAACTTATGTGCTAATACCTTTGGTATGAATCCACCTCTTCTCTTCTAACTATGGGTTAATTAGTAAAACTGGTATCACTAACTCATTGACTTATGACCACATCATGTTGAAACACTGGTTCCTGTACAGTGGTCAGCATTTAGGTGGCTGGCCACTTGGAAATAGCAGGTACTGTAAGCTTGGATGTGTGGGTGGAGTAATAGATTATGGCTCAGCATTGTTAATTGGAGAGCTGTGTTCCAATTCCAGTTTTGTTCATTATATTCACTTATGCACGAATACCCTTGGGAAAGGTATGAATCCACTTCTCCCATAATCTATGGATTAATTTGTGAGACTTGTATCACTAAAACTATTATTAACTCCAAAAAAATAATAAAACTGCATACAAGAAATTTACATTTCAGCATTAAATAATCCACAGAGGTTAATATGCTGCTAAATAAAATAACCAACCAACTAAATCCTTATTATCTCAAAAAGAAAATTCTTATGATCTAAAAAAAATATTTTCTGGCTTTAAATAATCTGCAAATGGGTTGATAAGCTGTAGAAAATAAATGAATAAAATCAAAAGTGGTAAATTTATATTTAATTTTTAAGATATTTTTTTAAATAAATTAAGATATTTATTAATGGCAATATGAGTATATAGATTTAATTATCTAAACTAACTTTTGTTTTTCATGTTTATATCTTTTATTTAGTAAGTCACCAAATTTTTTTCTGTTTTGAACCAAGTTAAAATTTTTGTGATAGTCCTAGCAATTTTGTGAGTGTGAAAGCATATTTGGCAATAATTTCAGAAAAACAAACTTGTTAATCCATAAAATGATACAGAAAAAAAGACAATTGTCCTTCTACTTTTTAAATTAAATATTCTTTTATCAAAATTTTTGTATAGATAATCCCAATTCAGTGGCTTAGGGCTATAAACTACTGTTTCCTTAATTGTTTTTTTAATATTTATATTAATGTTTATTGTTATGTGTTTGAAATATCACATAATAATAAATAATAATAATATAAATACTGACATAACTTGATGATCATAGAGAATAATCTTTTCCTAATAGGATTTCATAATAGTCTCAGTTCTCATGAAAAATGAACTGTATTTACTAAAAATGTCCAGTGCGTATAGGTCATTATTGTCCACTTGTGTCTGAGCATCGGGATCATCATTCTCTTTATTCCTTTTCTCCCCACTCATGGCAGTAGTGGAGATAGCTGTGAATCAGTTTGATGAGGCCATTTGCATGAATTGGGAATTTTATTTTGGTGGACAATTCTATATGAAAGAGAAGCCCACACACTTAGCCAGAAGTACCTCCCTCATACCTCAAAGGGGAGTTAGAGGCGAGACCTGGTATAGCTTAGTAAAACATGTACCTTTTTAAAATTCTTGTTTTTGCTGTTTACTAATGAAATTTGTAAGTCAGGATTACCAAAAATAGTAAGTAATGATTGGCTGTTCATTTTTTAGTAGGCTTGTCTGATAGGGTGACTGCATAATCCCTGTTGTAGATACTGTTCAGACACATTTGTATTTCTTCAACACTCACAGAGCCGACCTGCAGTTTATACCGTAACTATGCTGAGCAGACCTTAGTTACAGTTCTGGGAGAGAGAACAAAATCTGGTGTGATCAATAGTTGAACATTGCCAATACACCCAAATCTTTGGTCATGATGACGTGATTTCATGCTAGTGCAATGGCTTCAGAACAGTTTTACCTACTCAGTTTCATTGAGGCTCAACACATGGTATGGCTTTCAGGTACTTTCCAATGCTGTCACATGCTAGGGCTATCTCCCCAAGCTGATATTATCAAGACTTCATCTCCTTGACAAACCCACCATAGTGAAATTCAAGCCTCAGGCTCATGGTCAGAATGCTAATGTTCTAACAACTTGGCCATAAAATTTTTTTTTAATAATTTCACCCCAAGCAAGGCAATAAAGCCACTAAGACACAAGAGGTAACTAAATGTGAAGGAATATAAGAAAAAGAAAAACATTATTAAAGAGTAAAAACAATAAAAGTAGAAGAATTAAGACAACAGGTAATGATTGACATTGCATTTAAATTTTTGAAAATCAAAGTTGGCTGGAAAGCAAGAAGTCAGAAGAGTTACACAAGTGAGAAGTGTGAGAAAAAAATCTGTTAGCATAGAATTTATAGTTATATCTATCCATTTCAACCATAAAATGATACCCAGAAAAAAGACTTGCTGTATTAGCATTTAAAAATATATTTCATTTTATTAGAATTCTAAATTTTTATTTCTATTACCATTAAACTGATATGAAAGACAACTAAAGACCTTGATAAAATTAAATATTTTATTGAAAAACTTAACATAAAAACTAGTGCAGTTAAATGTTTAGTTGCTTAGAATTTTATGATTTTGTTTGTAAAGTAGAATAATTAAAGAATGAAGGTATTCATCATTTTAGTGTTGTTGGCTAAAACATGAAGCTCATACTTAGAGGGAAGAATTATTGACAGATAATAGCAGTGAAGTATGGAGAGATTTATGCCAAAGAAAAGTAATAGGTGAGAAAAATACTTACTTATATTTTAATATTATTTTGAATGGTACTATGGTTATATTTGTGACTATATCTAGGGAACCAAATTTTTTTTCTAATATAAATTGCAATGCACTTAGTCTAGCAAATTTTGTGTTTTCTACAAATGTAACAAGTAATTGAAAATTTGATTTGTTTGCTCAATTGCTTTGTCAACAAACAGTGGCATCAATTGCTATCCACTTAAGCAACACTTATTTTCTTCATAGTGTTCTCGCTCCTTAGTAATGTTTCTGTTTCTAATTCTTCCACACCTAGTAACCCCTTCTGTCTTAGTGGCTTTACTGCTTTGCTTGGGATGGACTCGAAGAAAGTTCAATTCAGAGACATAGCAGACATGGTTAATGATTGTTATAGCATGATGTTTTATATTATTTTTTTCCCTTTATGAATCAGTTGCTTCAATTTGTATGAGAGATCACAATATAACAAATATATTTTCACTGGGTTTAGTTACTTTAATGGAGGATTTAGTGGTATCAATGTTTCATAAAAATGGTACAAGAATTAGTACCAACAAACATGAATATGTTAGTTCAGTATGTAACAAGAATGAAAGTTTGTTTTATTTTGGGTCAATATCCAAATGGAGCTGATGTCTATGCCCGAAGGGATGTGTGCAAATAAACAAAATTGTTTACTTTTCTTTTACTTATGTAGATAGGTACATATGATGTATAGGAAGTTGGGGATGTTTCATTGATACTTGATATTTCAACTTGTTCTCTGAATTCCAGATTTTACCTATGATGTGGATGAAGTTTTTATTTGTTCTTGCCATTTTCATTTCATTTTTTATTCATTGTAATATTCCAGATTTTCCTGAGAGTTGGTGTGCTAGAACAGAGTGAGATAAAATTTTAATTAAGTGTTTGTTTTGCTAGCAGTGGTAACAATTTGGGTTTATTTTTAATCTGTGCATTTCTCTATTTTATATTTTTAGTAAACTATTTATTTTATTTCTCTCTCTATTCATTATTTCTTTTACTTATTGCCATGCCATAATAACATAGTCACATTGTATGAAATTCAATAAGTAGCTACTGAAACAATTTTTTCTCCATTTATAGCTTTATCCACTAGGAAATCTACATAACAAAGGGTTGGGTTCAAAATTTCCAGGTTGTTACCTTATACAAAGTGCAACAGAAATACCTCCCAGAAATACCTCCCACATAATGGTAAGACATTAGCTAGATGAAGATACCATTGTCACTAATATCTTACCATTATTTAGAAGGTATTTCTGCTGTATCTTGTAAAAAAGATATTTTAAGAAGATTGAAGTGTGCACTGGCAAATGTCTGAATAGAGTAGTGTATAATAATTTTAATAATAATTCATCTTAGAAATTTCAAGGGTAAATCTTTTTACAAGATAAAAATATTATAAATACAGGAAGTTTGTGAGTGATTGCTCTTACAAATTAAACCAACTAATATATAAAGGAAAAAAATAACATAAACCACCACACTATAACATCCATTTAACCATAAGAAAGCAGAAAATACTATTGGGTGACAATACTTGATAAGTCTCTCCTAAGTTCATTAATATAATTTGCATTATTTAACATAACTGTTAAGGATGGAACAGCAATCTTATATATTTTTTTTTTAATTATACCTTTTAACTTTTGTGTCAGATATGGTAAAGTTATTTTAATGATGATCTTTGGAAGAAAACTTTTCCTAGCAATGTCAAATTCTGTGCATTTTGAAACTTCATTATAGTTAATCGTTATAGTTTACATATTTTTCTACTGGAAGTTCATTGTGTAAATAATTCTTTTCTTCATTATATATATTTTGTGTATGTAAATGTGTCATTATTTTCTGTATGTTTGATTAAAAGTTTAAGCATTATTTTTTAATTTTTTTTTTTTTTTTTTTTTTTATCAGCATGTAAAAAGATAAATTGCTAACAAAATTTTGATTGTGATAATTCTTGTTAGTGTTATGTTATAAATTATACTTTCTTATTTTTTTCCATTTTTAAATAAATTTTACACTGGATTTCAATGGCCTTCGGTACAATTTTTAAATTATTTATAATCCAATGATAATTTCAAATGAAACTTGAAAATTATCTGCTACACATCTGCCTACAAATTATAACAGTTTTTTTTTTTTTTTTTTTTTGGATTATTACTGCATTCTATTTTTGATAAGGTTAGATTAAAGTAGGCACTTCCTGATTAATTATTACTATTTTGTACGTTTTTGTATTGAGATCCATTGAATCTGCTCTTTTTGCTGTTGTATCATTTCTTGGTCATTATGTATCTAAATATAATTGAAAGGTTTCCCTTCTCTTCGC